GTGTGTCTGCCTGCCTCCTAAGACTGTGAGTGTGTGTGTGTGTGTGTGTGTGTGTGTGTGTGTGTTGAACTCTGCCTGCCTCTGCCTCCGGATCCGGATTGCTGGTATTAATGGCATGCACCACCGCTCGGCTTCCAAATCCCAATCTTCTGCTTGTGCAAAGCTCTGGGTTTCCCATGTCTGCTCGGCTTCCAAATCCCAATCTTCTGCTTGTGCAAAGCTCTGGGTTTCCCATGTCTGCACATCCAATCTCCTTCATCTACCTCGGAGCCATCTTGAGCACTTCATCTTATATGGAAGCGATTGTCTGAGCCAAGCTCGGGATCTCGTATTCTGAGGCTCAATTCTGTGTTGCCCTGCACAAATCCTGGCAACCATGGAGCCACCACCGCCGCACGCCTGCACTCCATAAGAGTCCTGAGTTAGTTTCCTCAGAGTCCCTCTCCCTAGGGAGCCTAGGGTAGGCTTAAGTTTCAGTGCCACTGGAAGGAAGAAAAGTGGCACCCGAGTGTCCCTACAAGTCCCAACAGGCATCGCGCCGCGGAAGGGGCGGTGTTGTTGCCCCGCCCCGGAAGATAAGGCTGATTGCCGCCGTGCATTTCCTCTTTCGGCCGTGCTTGCCGGCAGGTAGGTTGTTCCTGGGTTGCTGCGAGTTTGAAATTATCCACCGCCATCCGCCACAGTGAGCAACTCGGTGGTCCGCCGTGCGCCGTGGTCCACTCATCCAGGACGGGAGGGAGGGATGGCGGTGTTGTCGGTCTTGGGAGCTGGCGGGGACCTGTTTTTTTGGGCGCTGAGTGTGAGCCCTTTCCAGACTCGCCGCCATGGGCCGTGTGATCCGAGGGCAGAGGAAAGGCGCCGGATCTGTGTTCCGCGCTCACGTGAAACACCGTAAGGGCGCCGCGCGCCTGCGTGCTGTGGACTTCGCTGAGCGGCACGGCTACATTAAGGGTATCGTAAAGGTACGAGGACATCGGCTGGGGCAAGCGGGCTGGGGACAGGGCGCCTCGAGCAGGCCTTCTGATCATACCCCCGACCCATAGGATATCATTCATGACCCCGGCCGCGGCGCCCCCCTCGCGAAAGTGGTCTTTCGGGATCCCTACCGATTTAAGAAGCGCACGGAGCTGTTCATCGCCGCAGAGGGAATCCACACAGGGCAGTTTGTGTACTGCGGCAAGAAGGGTGAGCTTCAAGGCGGGGAAGGAAGGAAGGGCTGTGCTTTGTAGTGGGAGCGGTTCTCATTGCTGTCGTTCGCTTTGACAATTCTCTTGACAGCCCAGCTAAATATCGGCAATGTTTTGCCCGTGGGCACCATGCCTGAGGGTACTATCGTGTGCTGTCTGGAGGAGAAGCCTGGAGACAGGGGCAAGCTGGCCCGAGCATCCGGGAACTATGCCACAGTCATCTCCCACAACCCGGAGACCAAGAAGACTCGAGTGAAGCTGCCTTCGGGGTCCAAGAAGGTTATTTCCTCCGCCAACAGAGCTGTTGTTGGTGAGTACCAGAGAGTAGTGGAACCCTGAAGACTAGTTGCTCAGCATGTGAAGTGTCAGCTGCTAAGCTGGGGCCTTAGATCCAGATTCCTTATTTCCTTGTTCTTGGGGGCACCCTCTTTGAACACAGAATAAAACCTTGAATTGTAGAATGGTACAGTATCTACTTTCTGCGTTTGTTACAGCATGGCCTGTAGACATAGCTCAGCGGTTAAAGACACTGGTTGCTCTTCGAGAGCACTCGGGTTCCTTTCACAGGTCACCACTGTAATTCCAGTCCCAGGGGATCTGTTACTCGTTTCTGGGCTTTGCCTACATGTGTACAGACATAACATGTAGGTCTGTATATGCATCCGTATGCATAAAATAAAGGTTAACAAAAGATTAAGCCACTTGGGATTTTTGTACCTTGTGACTTAACCTAGCAATCCTGTACTTGTGTCTAGCTAAGGACGTCCAAGTCAGTGAAATGGGACATGAGTCAGATCTCTTGTTGTGTGACTTGGGAACTTTCAACGTCTGCTAAGCTCATGGCTGCTGCACAGGGTAGATTGAGGATATATGTTCCCAGAGGATGCCTTGCTGCATGCAATGGATTCTCCCATTTGTATGAGAGGTGTCTTCCGACGTTGAAGGATCTGTCCTGATCTCAGACACTGAATGTCTGAGTGCACCCCTGGGAATTGGGCAGAGCCAACATTGTGCTTAATCTAGGAATGGTCTTCGCTTGCCTGTCAATGGAAATGATTGCAGGGTGTGATGGGCTTCCTCAGTGCTCAGGCTCTTGGGTGGTACATTTCATTGAGGCTGGAGGGCTTTGCCATGCATATCTCAGAGGTGTTATATATTTTTGCAGGTGTTGTGGCCGGTGGGGGTAGAATTGACAAACCTATCTTAAAGGCTGGTCGTGCCTACCACAAGTACAAGGCAAAGAGGAACTGCTGGCCACGTGTACGGGGTGTGGCCATGAATGTAAGTAACTAAGTAACACGTATAGTAATCCTGTGCTGGGAGCTGCATTGGGTGGATTCTAGCCAGTAGATTCTGCTGCTGTCTTCCCCAGGTAGGTGAGGTTAACTCACTCTAACCTTATTCTCTCTCTACAGCCCGTAGAGCATCCCTTTGGAGGTGGTAACCACCAGCACATTGGCAAACCATCCACTATCCGAAGAGATGCCCCTGCTGGTCGCAAAGTGGGTCTCATTGCTGCCCGCCGGACTGGGCGACTACGTGGAACCAAAACTGTACAGGAGAAGGAGAATTAGATCTCAGGAGCTAATAAAGTATGTGCTTTGGCTAATAGGCTATGTGTGAGCCTCTTTTTTTGGGGGGTGGTGGTCCATGCCATGGATCCCCTTGGTACAGGAAGTGAAAGATGCAGAAACTTAAAACACCCCAAGTGTTAGGGTCAGAAGCTTGCCCTCTAGAGGGGACTTGAACATGACATGCTGGGCCGGGAATTTGGGTAGGTGGATGTCAATACTAGGTGCTCTCCGTGTCCGCCATGTGGGTTCTGGGGATTGCACTCAGGTTGTCAGGCTTGGTGGCAAGCACCTTTACCTACTGAGCCATCCCATGAGTTGAATTTTCACTAGAGGGTCAGAAAGTCCTACCTGGCACTAGTTTTTTTTTCTTGACACAAAGAAGAGGGATGCAACTGAAAGAATGCCTGTATATGGTTGGCCTATAGGCAAGTCTGTTAGGCAGTGCCACCCCTAGGTGGATGGTGTGGGCTGTAAAAGAACAAAGTGAGCAAGTCATTAAGCATCTCCTTTAGTGGCATGGCTTGAAGTCATGTTTCTGTTCTGACTGCCTCACATGCTGGTGGGAGGAAGATCAATGTCATTGAGGAGAAATCTAGGCAGTATTTCCTCAGGATTAGCATTCAGAAGCTGTCATCTAGAGGCAGGCAACTAAAAGTAAGATTTTTCAAGGTGGTGTGTATGTTTTGAAGGTGTGTGTGGGTTCAAGCTGAGGCTTGGCACTATGAGAGACCCAGTGAAGGTGCCACCTCAGTTGTAGTTGAAGGCATCCTGGAGAAACAGGTTTGGCACCATATGGCAGGGTTAGAGTTCCTGAAGAGCACCTAGTATTTTGGAGATACTGGTGCAGTGGGACCAATGGGTGAGTGGATCCTACCTGAACTTGTATAAGAAAACAGCCAGGAGGCACAAGCTAGAAAGCAATGCTGTTATTCCATAGCCTGTGATAGAAATTCTATGAGACTTCCTATGTGGAAGTGAAATAAACCATTTCTTCTAAATTGCTTTTGTTATGGTGTTTTGTCAAGACAACAGAAACCATAAAACAGATCCCAAACAGGTTTTTTTCTTAAGTTTACATAAATTCTCAGTAATGCATCTATTTTTCCTTTTCCAGACTCTTGGAATTGCCATTTCAGAATATTTTAAAATCAATTTTATTTGTGTGCATATCACACACTCGTGCTTGAAACTTACATGGAAGCCAGAGGACAACTTGTGGGAGTTGGTTCTCCACCTACAGTGTGGGTTCTAGAAAGTAAACTCAGGTTATCATCTCTCTGGCCCAAGAAATTTAATTTTTAGGGGGTTTTTCGAGACAGGGTTTCTCTGTGGCTTTGGAGGCTGTCCTGCCACTGGCTCTTGAAGCCCAGGCTGGTCTCAAACTCAGAGATCCGCCTGCCTCTGCCTCCTGAGTACTGAGTTTGAGACAACCCTGGTCTACCAAGCAAGTTCCAGGACAGGCTCCAAAAACAACTTCCTGTCTCGAAAAACAACAACCAAAAAAACAAAAATAACCTATGCAGTACTGGCATTATGGAGGCAGAGACAGATCTCTGAGTTGTTCTACAGAGGGAAGGAGTTCCAGGACAGCCAGGGCTACTCCCTCCCTCTGTCAGTGGTTCCCCTCCACCACCACCCCCTTTTTCTTTTTTTTGAGATGGTTTCTTCTGTAACAGCCCTGACTGTCCTGGAACTCACTCTGTAGACCAGAGACCAGGCTGGCCTCAAACTCAGATCTGCCTGCCTCTGCTGGGTTTAAAGGCGTGCACCACCACCACCTGCTTTGTTTCAACTTTTAAAGTTGCTTCAATAAACTAATTCACGTCAAAGGCAGAATTATGGCTTTTTTTGTTTGGTTTTTTTTAACCAATATCCACAATTGTAGGATATTCTCCAATGTAATTTCAATATGTTGAGGAAAATAAAAGTAACATTTGTAGAGGAATGTTTTCGCTAGGAAGGAAAGGGAATTGTGATGAGTCACCAGGGAAAGGTCCTCAGATGTAACTGAACTTCCAGGAGGAAGGCTGGTCACGTATTGCCTATGTTCTAAGTTGGGCTTCTGACAGCCATGGATCACAGCTTCCTGTGTACTTTCTGATGCTGGATCAGGTGCCCGTGCTGATTGAAGGCTCGTCCACACTCCCCACACTCGTAGGGTTTCTCTCCTGTGTGGATCCTCTGGTGCTGGATGAGCACTGAGTACTGGCTGAAGGCCTTGCCACAGCTGTTGCACTCATAGGGTTTCTCTCCCGTGTGGGTCCTCAGGTGCACGATGAGAGTTGCTTTCAGGCTGAAGGCTTTGCCACACTCTGTGCACTGAAAGGGCTTCTCGCCTGTGTGGATTCTCTCGTGCTGGATCAGAGACCTGCGTGCACTAAAAGCATGTCCACATTCACCGCACACATAGGGTTTCTCTCCGGTGTGGACTCTCTGGTGCTGGATGAGGTGCGAGTGCTGGACAAAGGCCTTGCCGCACTCATAGCATGCGTAGGGCTTCTCCTCAGTGTGAATCCTCTCGTGGTTCATCAGGGTGGAGCGGTGGCTAAAGGTCTTGCCGCATTCACTGCACTCATACGGCTTTTCCCCGGTGTGCACATTGTGATGCTGGATGAGCACAGAGCGGTCACTGAAGGCCTTGCCACACTCACTGCATGTGTAGGGTTTCTCCCCAGTGTGGACCCGCTGGTGCTGCAGCAATGTCCTCTTCACACTGAACGTCTTCCCACACTCACTGCACCCATGAGGCTTCTCTCCAGTGTGCACTCTCTGGTGGCTCCGCAGGACAGTGCTATGGTTGAAGGCTTTCCCACACAAGGGACACACATATGGCCTCTCCCCTGTGTGGATCCGCTGGTGCTGGATGAGGTGTGAGAGCTGAGTGAATGCCTTCCCACATTCTAGACATTCGTGAGGCTTCTCTCCTGTGTGTATTTTGTGGTGCTGGGCAAGGTCTGAGCTCACTCGAAAGGCTTTCCCACATTCATTACACTCATAGGGCTTTTCACCTGTGTGGATCCGCCTGTGCTTACTAAGGACAGAACTCTGGCTGAAGGCCTTCCCACACACATGGCATACATAGGGCTTCTCACCAGTGTGTATTCGCTGATGCTGAAGGAGGTGAGAGCTCCTACCGAAGCACTTCCCACACTCCATGCACATGTATGGTCTCTCTCCGCTAGGAGCCACCTGGTGTCGAGCAATTGGTACACTAGGATTTGATACCTGCACAGTATGGGAGCCAACAGGGCTTGGACTTGGGTTGAAGTTCTGCTCCGTTTTGTAATGTTCTTCATTGGCCTTCTTCAACGGTGTTTCCCCCAGAATCACTGTTTTTTCATCTGAGATCAATGGCTGTAAGTTCAAGTTTGTGTTTTGGTTTTCTTCCTTGGTTTTCCATTCTGAAACAACAAACACAAAATGAAAAGGTTAACACTAGTGGGGGTAGTGGGTGGTACACGCCTATAATCACAGCACTTGAGCGGTTAAGGCAAGAGGACTGAATTCAGTACCAGTCTAGGCTACTACCTACAAGGGCTGCTTTAAAAAACAATAACCCAAACCAGAATAAAAACAACAAAAGGTTAACACTACACAAAATTGTAGGATGCAATCCTAAAGCCAACTTTGCTATGTAGTCTCTGATGTGAGATCGAAAGGGAACATCTCTCAACAAAACTAAACTATTAATGGGGATGAAAGGGGAAGGTTTCAACTTGTCTGCCCTGTGCAGAATGCACGTAATAGTGGGAGCACGTCCTAGTGTTCTCCCTGGAGTCAGATGGCTGAGCTTCCTGGGCCATGGGAGTGGTGGTGGTGAGTGCAGGACCATTAGGTCTGTGTGAGTTAGGCAGCAGCAAATGACCAATGAAGCCTGACACCACATGAGCAGGTCAGAGGCCATCCTGGGGCCAAGGGATTCATTCATGGTGTGATGCTGATGGTCACCTTTGTGGAAAACAATGTGGAGAATACATGGATACTGAGACAGATAATAGGAATCTAGTGTCACATTTCAGGTTGGAGACGGGCTGGTAAGAGCAGCAGTGTAGACAGGAAGGAAGGTTCAATAGAGAAGTGTTCTGGAACTAAGAGACAGGCTCCACAGGGAGACCATGCTATGTATACGAGTATTGAGAATAACCCTGTTTAATGTCTTGAGTTTAAAGATGTCACATGAAGACTTCATGTGGAGCTGGGTGGGTGAAGCACATCTTTAATCCCAATACTCAGGAGGCAGAGGCAGGCAGATTTCTGTGAGGTGGGGGCCAACCTGGTCTACAGAGCAAGTTCCACGACAGTTGAGGCTGTTACACAGAGAAACCCTGTCTCAAAAAAAAAAAAAAAAAACAAAAAAAAAAAAAAAAAAAAAAAAGAAAAAAAAGGAAAAAAAAAGAAAAAAAAAGACTTCATGTGGAGCTAGCTACACTGGGCCACCTGTGGAGAGGTAAAGAGAGGTCCTTCTGTCACATGTCTAGCAGGGTGGCAAGAGGCCAATCTTCATGGCAGCGGGGGTTAGTCCCTTCAGGTTTCCTCAGATGAAAAAAGGTCCATTATCCTTTCCTGCTGCAGAGGATGGAGGCCAGAGGCTTCTGTGCATCCTGTAGCCTCCCAAAGGGCACAATCTAATCCTCAGGCTCAGGATGCTAGTATACCCTCAGGCCTTAACCACTTTTCCAGGGTCTCGGCTGTGGCCTTCCCTGAATGAGTTGTCATACTTGATGGACGGCCTAGGAAAGGAAGCCCCACAGCAGAGAAAGATGTAAATTTAAAGTGTGCCCAGGGGTGGGGGTAGGGGGAATTGAACCATGTGGTTGCTGGGAATTGAATTCAGGACCTCTTGAAGAGAGCAGCCAGTGTAGGGTGACAGATGCACTGTGTGCACATGGAGGTCAGAGGACCAACTTTTTAGACTTAGTTCTCTCCTTTCAACCTTTATGTATATTCTGGGAATTGAGCTCAAGCTGCCAGGCTTGCATTGCCATCTCACTCTTGTGGAAGGACATAGAAGGGTCTCTGGCAAGTACCAGTGGGATCAACAACTTGGGGACTAAGTACAGATTTAGTGAGCTCTGACCCAGAGGCCAGGATCACAGGCAAGGACAGCATCAGCGCTTCCTCTGCCATTCCCCTCTATGTTGGTACAGCAAAAACTAGGTATTTTCACGCCTTGAGAGTGAACTGGTGTGCCATGCATCGGTCCCCGATATGAGGGAGGCTACGGCAGTCCTTCACTTCTTCTTTTAAAAATGATTTACTTGCCAGGCGTTGGTGGCACATGCCTTTAATCCCAGCACTCGGGAGGCAGAGGCAGGCAGATCTCTGTGAGTTCCAGGCCAGCCTGGTCTCCAGAGCAAGTGCCAGGATAGGCTCCAAAGCTACACAGAGAAACCCTGTCTCGAAATCCCCCCCCCCCCCAAAAAAAGAAAAAAAAACCCTGTCTTGAAAACCAAAAAAATAAATAAATAAATAAATAAAAATACTGAACTTTAAGCCGGGCGTTGGTGGCTCACGCCTTTAATCCCAGCACTCGGGAG